TAAGCTCATCCCGATGTTACACTCGTCAAGAGCTTTCATTTGAGTACCCACATCAATTTTTCATATATTTATATATATTTATATATATATGAATATATAAAAAATATATCAAAATGCGTGTGGGTACTTAAATGAAAGCTCTTGATGAGTGTAACGTCGGGATGAGCTTATATCTTTAAAAATGTCAATATTTAAGAAAGTACAGTGCAATTTACCAAAATTCATTATTTAAAAAAGTTGCTAGTAATAATAATAATAATAATTTTATAAACTATAAATTAATCAATTGATTATTTCAGATTGTTCTTCCATCAAAAGCGATAAAAAACGAACGGATATTAGAAACTCTAATGTACCAAGCAAACTCCGGAATTTACCGAAATGTCGACACTTACTTAGAAGACTACCAGAAGAGGATACAAAATCAAGAGAGTTTTGACTACGGAATTTAAAATTACATTAACAAATAAATAATTATTGATTGAAGGATAGTTTTATTAATAATTATTTATTTGTTATTGCTGTTATTATTATTATGTAAAACGTCAAACGCACACTAAACATATCGAGTATCCTCGTTGAAAATAATCATTGGATATCGTTATATTTTATAAGAAATTAATCAAAATTGTAATTCAAGTTTTTCGTATACTCAATACTCAATTTACAAGCTAGTATTTTTACTCATTCGTTAGTTTTTAATTTTATTGTTAATAAAAAAAATTATTTTAACCCTTGAAAACTTGAATTATAATTATGTATAAATTATTTATTATTTATTATTTGAGTGTTGAATTTTTTATAAGTAATGTAGCGCAGAAATAATTAACTAATTTTATTTTTCAAGCTTCAAAAAAAAATTTTTTCAATCATTAAAACTTCAATAAATTTTTTTTAATTAAAATTTAATAATAATTATAATTTTCAGGCGTTTATTTAATATATTGCTCTTTAATTATATGATTTAGCGTGTCAAATTAATAAAAAAATATTTTTTAGTGAGCTAAATTTTAAAAATAAAATTAGTCAATTTTTTAGCGCTACCTTAAAAATTAGTTAATTATTTATTTTTTTTTTTAAGAAAATAAATTATATAAAAACGGACAAATATATAAAAAAAAAAAAAGGTTATGCCAATATTGACAATCTGTATTATATAAATAATTAGTATTGTAAATTAAAAAAAATTCCTTGTAAAATTTATAAAGCAAATTAAAAAAAAAAAATATTTAATAACAAATATATATTGAAATGATTATGATTATAATTATATACAATAATGTTAAAAAAGAAAACTTTGAGAAGTAAAGTCGTTGATATATATATATATATATATATATATATATATATATATATATATATATATATATTTGAGTGTCTGAATAAATAAATAAATTTTTAAATGAGTTCCGTTTTTCTATTGTAGATTTTGTATCTTTAATAGTCTGGATAAAGATAAATTATAAGCCATCTAATCAGCGGATGCGTTGCCGAATTAATTTTATAAAGAGTTGATATAATTAATAATAAAAATAATAGTTGAAATAATTTATTTATTATCGTTTGCCAACATTATATATGAAAGATATTTTTTATACTATGTCAATCCGAGGATTTTCTTTACACAATTATTTTTATTGTGTTTATTGTTGATTATTGATAATTGATAATTGATAATTGAATACAAACCGTTGATCATTGAAATAATTATTAATTATAAATGGTGTTAATTCAAAGGATAGTTTTACAGGAATTTTATCAGAGCAGGATTTATATCTAAGCTATATTATTATATAAATAAAAATGTTCGATTATTCTTCTGAGGAAACCTGCTTCGACTGTTAATTAATTAATTAATTCATATATTGATTAATTAATTAATCTATTGTATACATATATAGATATATATAAATATATTTATTAATAAATGTGTTACTGTAAGTACCTTCATTCATTCATTTCTTTTTTTTTTTGTTCTTTTTACAATTATTTTGTAGTTTAAAATTAATTTTTGTTTTGATAATTTCAGTGGTCATTTTTGTTTTAAAAGGCTATAAAATGTTAATCACACAAAAAAAAAATTTTTTAATGTAGAAAATTCTTTTAGAAGGTTAAAATATAATTAATTAATTTTAAAAAAGTAGAATAATTTAAAAATTTTGACATTAAAATTTTTTAAACTGATAAATTTTTTTTGGATTAAGTAAATTTTTTTTGTGTATAATTTTATAAATATTAAAAAAAAAAATTATATACTGCAATAATTTGATTTTAAAAAAATTTTATTTTTTTTTTTTCCTAAAAGAATTTTCCGCTCAAAAAATTCAGCTAAAATATATTAAAAAAAAAAACAAAAAATGAATTTTCCGTATGAAAAATTAAAACTGATAAGTGTCTTATTGTTCTGAATATAAATAAACGACTGGACGAAAGTAAATTTCCATAAAAATTCTCTATCATATAAACATTCATATAATCAATAATAATAATATATGATAAATATAAATATTAATAAAATAAAAAACCACGATACGATTGTTGTGATTAAAAATATATACCAATAATACATGATGCATATATTTGTCATTGGCCATCGATTAATAATCAATAATCAGTAATTAACTATAGTTTATCAGTACAAATAATAAAACTGTCTTTGTATCTCCGACTATATTTTATCATACTTGTAAATAAAAATATATACCTAAATATAAAACTAATAAATAATGTGTTTCACATCACTTTGATGAACGAATCATGGTATATTGTTCGATAAATCGAAACTTTGTGTATTAAAAATAAAAGTATATTAATATATTTTGTTTCCTGAATGGACAGTGTCCGACTATTGCCGTCTCTCCGATGTTGAGTGTATCAATAATATCGAAAATTTGTAAGCTAAAACTTTTTTTGTTTATAAATCAACGACTTGTGTGTGGAATTTTATTTTTAAAAAATTGCTGAACAATATTTAAAATAATTGAGAATATAATAAAGATAATGAAGAAGCGCATGCCAATTTGGATATTTTATGATTTAATGTAAGCCACTGTGATGTTACTGTTATAGATATATATGAATAAAAAAAAAAATATATATATATATATGTACCTATGTACGTATATAATTACGTATGACTAAAAACTGCTTTGATAATAAGTTTTATTAATCATAATTTTTTTTTTTTTTATAAATACATTAATTTAAGAACCTTAATCTTTCAAATTGTGCATTACAAAAAATTCTTTCAGAGTTATACGGAAGAAATATTTCACAGAAGATTATGTAGAAAAATTAACACTTAGTTTTTTGTTTTTTATTTATATTTATTTTTAATTAAAGATGTTGGAATTGAAACAATAATATTCTTATCAATTAACAGCAATTGGCTGGATAAATAAATTATCAAATCAATAACAAACGTTCAAAACTTGATTTTTAGTATCAATTTTATTATCTAAATTGCTATTAATAAATAGACAATATAGTGAAAAGTTATAAAATTTTACGGACGCAATTTAAAAGTCACACGTGTGATATAATATGATGCGATATATTGTATTGCAAACGTTACATGTTAGAATTACATGGAAATAATTGTTCAAACATGTACATTGCACAGTAATCAATAAATATATATAGAGACGTAAACAGGTTGCGCTGTTAAAATATTTTGTTTAATATAATTCGCGATTTGTCGTTAAACTTTAAGTTTTTTAAACTTCAAATCGTCGCGATCGTTCGTCAATATACTTTTTGAGTTTATACACAGCGAACTCGATCAAAGACACTAAGATTGAAAAGGATAAAATAAAAGCGAGACGCCAAAAAAAGAAAGAAAAATCAGGTAAATCCAAAAATTCTTCCTGTTCAAGCGCCTTACTCGGAGCAATGAGTTTTTGTTTTTTTATGTAACGTTTCAATGGACTTTTTTTTCCGAAATAGTCAACAAGACCAGCCTCAACCAAGTTCATAGCAGTTTTATCGATTTTGTTTTTTAGTGGAAAGTTTTTTCCCGTTCTTAGAAAATTATACTGCTTAAAGAAAGGTTCTTTCGATATGTGGAGGTCACCGATCGTAATATTATCAAGTAAATGCTCAGGTAGTACACAAGCCACTGAATTTTCCCGTAAATAATTCAAGCAAGACTTCACATTCACTGTAAAGTTGTGACTACTTCTAAAGGTCGAATTTTTCCAAATGTTCAAATCGTGCATATTTCTTTTAGCATATGGATGATAGAAAACTCGATACTGGTTATCGTACAACTCCTGAAAAGTTTCGATGTTCTCCTGGGAACCCGGGCTAGTTAGTACAGAAGTGAATTGACTCTGGAGTACCGGACAGAAAAAGAAACCGAACAACGTCGCGCTTAAGAACGTAACTCGCATAAATAATCGAGTTAGAGGGGTCGATATTCCCATGCCAAGAATAAGTGAAAAAATTTCTAAAGTCGCAGGACCGAAATCATACCGATAGCTCACTAAAATGATTATGAAGATGATAATCAAAGTGAATGCTGACATTGCGGTGGTTTGATAAGTCAATACATTATCAGTCACTGCATTGAAAACCGGAATAGTACTTCGTTTTTTCGTAAGTATTAAAAAACCTCTTTGAACATATAGAGGAATTACATCAAAAAGCGCGCCATTTACATTTCGTGTATATTGTAACGACATATCGTACGTACCATTGGCTAATAATTTAAACAGTTCGATAAAATTAGCTGTAGCTATGTTTTTCGTATAAATGACCGGTGTAACATTTAATGCAGTGAACAACTCAGTAAAAATATATCGTTCACTGGGTGATACCTTGGAAAATACTTCTGGTGGAACTTTTTTTTCTTTGAAGACTCGATCTTCTTTGCCAATATTAAAACCGTTTAGAGAATATCCGTCCAACGAACGGGTCTTGTCGAATACAACGCTGGGACAGATACTTGGGTCTGTGAAAAAATGTATATTGCAGTGAACCATGAGCGATTGCAAGCATAAAAATTATACTGTGATCTTGCTGTAACTTACCATCTCGAAATGGCTGTCTATAGAGTGTCCAGCTATCATTTACTTGCTCAGCTACTTCGACGCGTGTCCACTGTTCCGGAGCACGATGAGCATAAGGGTTAAAGATAAAGACGAAGCTCTCACTTGAAGACTTGTTCGGACAAACGTAAAAAGAATTAAAAGCCTCAATTTTCCAGACTGCCTGAAGAATTTCCGCTGCTCGGTCGCAGTCTTCTCCAATCACTATAATCACCGACGCCACGTTCCAAATTCTTGATGATTTTATTTCTTGAAGTGTTTTCCGCAGGATTTTCATCGAGTCTGCTGTTATCAGATAACTCGGGTGGCGTGTGTAGTATTTTTCCATGACTTTTGAGCTGAAATATTGATCAATTACCAGGATGGAGGAGTTTATGGCTTCATTCCTCTGCATTTCATCCATTACGTCGAGCAAATCCACAGAAATTGCAACGGGATTAAATTCATTTGAAAAACACAACTCTAGCAGCTTACGCTGTTTTTGAAAATTCAAATTTTTTAATTAATTATTTATTACATAATCTTACAAGTAATAATAATAAAATTCATTTGTATCACATCACATGCGTTCTACAAAAATTTTTAAAAGAATCAAAGTTTACAAAATCTTTTAAAAATAAACATAGCTTACAAAAAAAAACTAAATATTATTTATAATTGATTGACATTAAAAGTTAATGAAAAAAGTAACACAACTTACAGCATGGAAGTAAATAGTTGGTCTGCTGGATGTTGAAGAGTCGTAAATTTTTATCAAATTGCACTGAATTACACTTATTAATAAAAAACATAGACTAATTTCCTTAATTGCTTTCATTATCATCAATGATTTGAATTATTAGATTATTTTGCTAAATTAAGAAAATTTACTGAAGAAATTACGGATAAACTTTCATTATTTAAACAAATAGTCACTTTTGCCACGTCTATTCTATTGAATTGCTTGCGTGAGAATGACTCAGTGATACTTTGAAATGAAGTACCTACTTCACCACAGTAATTGCTGAGGATACGTGTCCGTTTGCAAGAGAACTTCCTCGCGAAGCGTCACCAATTTAATTAATTTTAAGTGCATCGCAATACAGAAAATTGCACACGCTCGCGGGTTTCCATAGCGAAGAATATGTAAACTTTGAGAGCTTACTATTGATTTAAAAATTTTTATTATTTGTTAGTCCAAGTAAAGTTTAAATATTATAATTTTTTTTTGAAATCAGACCAAATTTTAATGATTGTTTTGTTTCTTTTAATTGTTTATTAAATTTGCTAAATTTTTCAGATGTCTGTTATCACTTATCAGAAACAATCTTAAAATTTTTTTTTCTACTGTTATTTAATTATTTAAATTTTATTTGATATTAAATAAAATATAATTTAATAAAAAAACTATTGATTAAAATGAATAATAAATAAATCCTTGAATTTTTATTTTTTATAAATAATAAATTTATAATATATAAAATTTATTATTTTTTTAACAAAATAATTAGTTAAAAATAAAAATCATCAAATTATTAAATTGTAATCTTAATTATTTTATTCCAAAAATTTTTTAAATAATCAAAAATTTTCCGCGTTAAAAAATTAAAATTTAGCGCCACCTACTTCTTAACGCTGCCGTACCTAAAGAGCGACTACTGACAGTGGCTCTCTGCAATCAGTAGTATTTAAACACTCGGCGTCAAAACAAGCTTTAGACAAACTCGACAAACATAAATATAATTAAAAGTTATTTACATTAGATAATTAACAAAAATGATCGGTGACAATGAGGACTCTCACTCCTTATGTGACTCACTGGTAAATATTTATCCTCAGAATTTAAATATCTCCAAATATGTCACTAATAGATCGCAAGTATTTGTTAAAGTCACAATCATAACCTAATTTTTTCTAGAATTTACTTGAAGAAGGCTGTCGTTTGCCGGTTCGTATGCACAGTACCAATGATTGGAGTAAGTTTTTATAAATTTTAATAATAATATAATTTCTTTTTGACCAAATTAAACTATTTTTTATTATTTATGTCATTTATATGTCAGGAAACGCAGAGTTCAATTTTCAGTCAGTATTTTGTTTGTTTATTTTGTTGTTACTCACAATTTTTTATCACTAATGAATAATAATGATTATTATTTTTATTACATTTATTTATTTTTGGTAGGACCTGACAGATAAATTGGATTTTATGTTTACTTTTTTTTGACATCTCAATTTGATAACAATATTTATGTTTTTCTTTCTCACAGCATTGGCGGAATTAATTAGTGTAAAAGATGTAGGACCAGTTAAATATTATTATGTCCATTATGTTGATTGTAAGTATTTAAATATTTAATATTTTTTTTTTATTTTTATAAAAAATCTTTTTATTTTAGAAAAAGAAAATTATTTTGAAATTAGCAGACATCTGACAATTTTTTTACTATTTTTTTTAAATAAATTGGGTCTGAAAAATTCAAGAAAGTTTAAAAAATGTCATTTATAATTTTTTAGAGTTTCTAAGCAGAATTTTTTTAAAGTAAATTACTTTTGCAATTATTTAATTGCTGTGAACGATAAATAAATAAAGTTTTACTTTATAAAATAATGACTTTGGTTAAATTGCACTGTACTTTCTTAGATATTGACGTTTTTAAAGATATAAGCTCATCCCGATGTTACACTCATCAAGAGCTTTCATTTGAGTACCCACATGCATTTTCATATTTTTTTCATATATATATATATATAATAAATGAAAGCTCTTGATGAGTGTAACATCGGGATGAGCTTATATCTTTAAAAATGTTACAATATTTTACAAGATACAATGTAATTTCTTAATTATTGACATTTTTAAAGATATAAGCTCATCCCGACGTTACACTCATCAAGAGCTTTCATTTAAGTACCCACATGCATTTTTGATATATTTTTCATATATACATATATATATGATATATAAATATATGAAAAATTGATGTGGGTACTCAAATGAAAGGTCTCGATGAGTGTAACATCGTAATGAGCTTATATTTTAAAAAATGTCAATAGTTCACAAGATACAAGGTCATTTTTTAATTAAGCATCTAAAAATAGAGTATTTTTTAATGCCACCTAAATACTTATAATAAATTGACTATCATGGATTGTAAAAAATAAAAATATTCTTCCTAAAAATTCTAGTCAACAAAAGATTGGACGAATGGGTAACAGAAGAGAGACTAGACACGCGAAAAGTCCAATACCCTCACCGCGACGGAACAACAGCCCCAGGAACAGGATGCGCGACTCCAAAAAAAATCAGCCGGCCTCCAAGCCCAACAAACACCCCCACCGAGCCAGTGAACGGCTCCGCGGCGTTCCAAGCCGCGCTTCAAAAGCGGATCTCGAGGAAGCGAAAGGGGACCTTCCTGGACAACGAGGACTCCCAGGAAGCTACAAACCCATCAGGAGTCCCGCAGACACCTGGTCCGCGTCCCACGGGGTCGATGGTGACGCACCACCACGACGACGTGGTGACGCGCATGAAGAACATCGAATTAATCGAGTTGGGTCGCCACCGGATCAGGCCCTGGTACTTCAGCCCTTATCCTGAAGCGATGGTCACGCTGCCCTGCATTTATATTTGTGAATTCTGTCTTAAATACCGCAAGAGCCGGAAGTGCCTCGAGCGGCATCTAGTCAAGTGCAATTTAAGACACCCTCCAGGAAATGAAATCTACCGCAAAGGCTCAATTTCTTTTTTTGAAATCGACGGACGCAAGAATAAAAACTACGCTCAGAATTTGTGTCTTTTAGCGAAGCTTTTTCTCGATCATAAGACCCTATACTACGACACCGACCCATTCCTCTTCTACGCGATGACCGAGTTCGACAGCAGGGGCTTCCACATCGTCGGATATTTTTCTAAAGAGAAAGAGTCCACCGAGGACTACAACGTCGCTTGTATCCTCACCCTGCCACCCTACCAGCGAAAAGGCTACGGCAAGCTCCTCATCGAGTTTTCTTACGAGTTGTCTAAATTTGAAGGAAAAACTGGATCTCCAGAAAAGCCGCTGTCTGATTTGGGGCTCCTGTCTTATAGGAGCTACTGGACTCACACGATTGTGGATATTCTTATCAATGTTAAGCCGCTGGTGGAGAATGAAAAGGCACAGATTACTATCAATGAAATCTGCGAGCTCACTGCTATTAAAAAGGAAGATGTTATATCGACTTTACAGCACTTGGGGCTTATTAATTATTACAAGGGGCAATATATCGTTACGCTTAATGAGTAAGTTTTTTTTTAAATCAATTATTTAATTTTTTCTGACTTATAAACATCAGAAGCAACAATTTTGCTTTTATTTTAATATAATATATAGAAACTGGAAAATTTTTAATCATAATTTTTTCAGTCTTGCATTTTTTAATATTTTAAGTAATCTTATTAAATTATTATTATTATTACTATTATTATTATTATTATTATTATTATTATTATTATTATTATATTTTCAGAAAAACAATAATAGACCATGCAGAAGCAATGGCAAAACGGTCTATCAGAATAGATTCTAGATGCTTAAATTGGCAACCTAAAGACTGGAGTGTTCGCGCAAAATGGTAAACTGCGACAATAAATACCGATACTCAGCTGCTTATTATTTTTTAACTTACTTATACTATATTGTACATAAATGTAATTTTATAAAAAGTAATTATTCAATAATAGAATTTAAAAATTTTATAATTAAATCTTGTTGTTGTTACAAATCCCTTAATTTTAGTTATAAAATTTCTCTTTCAATTATTAATTAAATTTAATTTAAAAATAGTATTTAGCTATTAAAAAAATTTACTATCCAAAGAATAAATAAAAATTGTAATAAATGGTAATTTTACCGTCAATTAAAATAAATACTAAAATAAAATATTTTCTATATTACCAACGAACGATGTTTCTTTCTCAATACCTTCAGCCCCTTATATAAACCTTCAACCCCTATTTTACCTCGGTAAGGGATGTTTTTACCTAATCTGTCGGTAAGAACTCTAAATTAGTTATAATTTATGTAATTCGCAAAGATAAATTTATCTAGATACTTTATATAAATACATCCCTAAGAATGATTTATATTCTCACTTATATTTTCCATTCTTTTTATTTATAAATTTTTAAGATTAGTTTTATGAGAAATTTTTATTATTTATCTAAATCATTAATTTTTAAAAATAAAATTTATATTATGTTCAATAATTAAATAAAAACTTATTCAATCAAAATTTTCATTTGAAATAAACTTTTTATTAATAATTTTTTTTTTATAAAATCTTTAAAATGATTTTTAATAAAAAAAAATCTCAATAAAAAATTTATAATTTAATTGTACAAAATTTGTCATTAAAAATTCACCAAAATTATTAAAAAATCATTAAGTAGATTTAATTAATATGTATACTATTTTTTTAAATTATTTAAAATATTTTTTTCTAAAAAAATTTCAATCCTAATTAAACAAAAAATTGCCTATTAATTTTTTTATAAAAAATTCAATATACTAATTTCTAAATTTATCAATCAACCATTTTATTTTTTACACAATTAAAATTAAGAGATAAAACTATCCAAAATTCAAGGATAAAAATCCACAAACCAAAACAGAGTACCAAATTAATTAATCAAGACCCACAGATCCTTTTATCTTATCGACATCCTCTGTAATTCCTTAGATGCAGATGCAGAATCTTTATCTCGAGCATTGAGAGTCGAGGAAGCATAGCGAGACGTAACAAGCACGAGTGGAGGAACAGAGGATCGTAGGAAGAGTCGAGAGGAACAGAGGGTAGAATAGGAGTAGAGCCGCACCCTGTTTATTCGCCCGTGGCCATGTGTCATGTTCTATCAAGTCCGTCTCTGCTCGTTACCTACCTATGCATATAACATATAGCATATATGTATATATCAAACTATAGAATATAGCGAATCGTGGAAAGGGTACGGAGTATGGGTATATACGGTATGTAGTACATAGCATGTAGTGTACAGTAGCTATCTGCATATGTACTGTATATACTTACCCACACATGACATGAGGACGTATGTGCTCGCGGCCGGGGGTAGCTACCCTTACCTTTCACCCTTATATGCAGGGCGTGGCCAGGGTCCACCAATCCCGGGCTTTGAATACCTATATACTAAATTCTAAATCGAACTCTAGTAAAACCGGAGAGCAGACGAGGCCGGAGGAAGACGGAGAGAAAGAAGATGGAAGAGGAGAGAAAATTTCAGTGATCGTATTGTAGCAGTATAAAGCAAGGTCGACATTCTACATACTACATTTATTGAGGATAAGGGGATCAGTGTGTGACTTTTATAAAAATCTCAAGAGTTTTCTTTTCTTATCTACTCTCCTACGCTACGAAAAAAGCTGCCTTCAAATTTAATTGAAGTTACTTAGACCATCAATCTCTCAGGAGCTCCATTCGATGCTTTATGCCTTTTATTCTTTTATTTACAAGAGGAATTGTTAATTTACATTGGTTGGATTTTTGGACGAGAGATTGATAGGGGAAAATTATTTTTTTGGAAATAGAAAGAAAAATTTTTTGGATAATTAAGGGTAGAAATACCGGTTTTGGACATCTTAGGACCATTTTTGGCCACGATATTTTAGTTAATTTGAGAAAAATTTAACTTTTCAAATAGAATTTTTATAGAATTTCTTAATTAGTACATTTATAAGAATTTAATTCATGGTCTTGCGCTTATTGGTCTAACTCCTTATTTTTTAGGTCCAATTAGAAATTATTTGAATGATTCAAACCAAAATATTATACCTCTATTAGATATTAAATGGTTTTTTAAAGTGACAACAAATTTTTAACTAATTGTTTTTTCGTACAAATGGAAGATTTGCTAAAATGAAGCTAGACAATTTGCTAATTAGAACGTCGATTTATATAATAATTTGAAAATAAAATGGCCAAAAAAGGTACACTGGCTACAAACGGTACTTTTGCACTACTTGACTATACGATAAAAATTTTGAGTCATTTTTTGTAACAATAATATTTTTTAGAAAAAGATTTAATGTGTTATTCACCAAAATTTTGACATAAAATTATTGATTTATTTATTTATTAATAATAAAAGCAAATATTATATTTTAAAAATAAATATTATTGATATTCTTCTTTTAAAATAATATATTCAAATATTTTTCTTCTAAAAATTCTTGAATTAAGAAATTTTTTGTTAAAAAATAATTTTTTTGACTCTTTAGAATAACTTAAAATTTTTCAAAGTGATTTTCTTAACTAAAAATTTTTTTTTTGAATCAAATTTAATTTTTTTATCAATTAATATTTCTTAATTCATAACATAAAAGTCATATTAAACTTATACAATTTTTATTGCTTAAATAAGTCATATTTTAACAAAAAAAAATTTTTTTTTGGTGAAATAAGGAGTCGGGTTATAAATAAAAAATATCAACAATTTTGCAAAATTTATTTTTTATTAAAATTCATCTTTATTAAAATTTACATATTTTAATTATTATTACATCAAAATAAATAAAATATTATTGCTACCAAAATTTTTTATTAATTATACAAACCTTGAAAAATCAAAAGTATGACCTTATCACCCACCAACAATAATAGTGCCTTTGAGAGTTTGAGAGATGAGACTAAAGGCATTTAATAGCTCCAGTTAATAGCTTTCGGAGTAGTGTAGCATTTAAGAATCCCACAGGAGTTTACATACCTTCACTCATGTGTCTTCTATAGGGTCCTCTTCTCCCTTCTTCCTCCCGCTCATCCTTAACCTTTCCACCCACTTCTAACCCGAGCCAGAGCCCGTGTTCTCCAATGTGCCATCAACTTACCTTACGACGACGGATTACACTCAACTTATATCCCTCTATATTCCTTGTCGCTATATAATACAATGTGGATATATGTACCCTCATTTAAACTACAAGAACATTTCGTGTAGATCGACTATATTATAAACACACATTCCCATTCTCCTCCTCCTCCTCCTTCTTCTCATTTATAATAGCGGTGAAACTATTAGACTGCAATTTTATATAAGGAATTTTCGACTTTAGGTAATAAAAGTTAATTAATTGTTTATATTTCGTACACTGTAAAAATTAGTAGAGTAACATTTTTTTATAAATTCTCTCTATAATTATTTATTTTTTTCAAAATTCTAAAAATTGCCATATAAAAATTAATTTCAGTTAATTTAATTAATTAAACGTAGTAATGTTAATTATTTAATTTTTACGTCAAGATTTATCAACAAAACTTAAAAAAAAAATAATCTTAATAAAAATTTGGTCCAATTTTTTAATAATGTAATTAATTTTTCCAAAGTTAAACTTGAAATAAATTTTTTTAAGTCAGTAATTTTGCATTTGAAAGCTTATTAAAATTTATTTTACTCAAAAAATTGTACTGTAAATCGATTTGTAGTTTCTACAGTGTATTTGTTAAATAAAACTTGTATTTTTTATTGTCTATATAAAATTGGAGTGTGAGGTTAGATCTTGGGTTAGAAGGAAGTGTAGGTGTTTTATATGGAGTATCATCAGCATCAGGTAGGGTAAAAGGTTGTTGTCAAACGGGAAAATACTTAGCACACTCAACACTCATGCACACGTAACGCCGCTGCTTAAAATTCATAAGGCGGGTGTTTACTTACTGAAGAACGGAGAAAAGAGAAAAAAGAGGAGGAGGAGGAGAAAGAAAACGAGACCGCGTATCTTCCAGTTTCCAGTATCCAGCTCGATTTTCCTCCTATTTTACAGGCTATTTACGTGGATGAAAGGGTGTACGATGTTGTCTCACGTTTTATCGAGTTTAATAAAAATCATTCTCCAGTTTTTCTTTTTGCTTTTATTTTCAAATTCTTCCATAAGCTTACAAAGTATTTTACAAATATCTATGTATATATATACATATTTACAAAGTCCTTACGTATATCATTTATAGCTAATTTAATTTAATCTTTATAAACTGACAAGAAAAGTAACTTGATTTAAGAGAAAAAAATTGTTTTTTTAATTTTCTTTGCTCTGAATAAGCATAAAAAATTTTTTTCTTTGCTCAAAAGGGAAAAAAACAAATCAAGAACGATTTCTTAATTCAAAAAATTTTTTTAGAATAAAATTTTTTAAGGATTAAATTTCTAATTTATTTTTACTTAGAAAATTAAAAAAATAAATTATTTAATCATTTAAAAATAATTTTATTATTAGATAAAAAATATATTTTTTAATCAACTAATTTTTTGTTGCAATAAAATAAAAATTAAATTAAAAAAAATCAAAATTAAAATAGTTGACCTTACTTGTAAATATTTACCAAATTTTTAATTATAATTAAATTAACTCCTTAATTTTTAGCTGCCAAAAAAAAAAAATTCAAAATTGTCACCCAAAAAAATTCAAACCGAAGCGACCAATAAAATTTTTTTGACCAAAAAAAAATCAACAAACCCAAAACATTAAACATAAACACAGATACCAGAAGCTCTTCCGTTAATTAAAGTCTAATAATACCAAAGATTTCTTCATTCGCCCCTAACCGTTCAATATTCTCCTCCGTGCAATTAAT